TTGCCAAAACCGTGGAGTAGATGCTGGCACACGTAGGGCAACTTCTTGTGCTCGGGTTAAATCTGTTGACGATGAAGGAGACTGTGTTGAACCACTGCAGAATCAGGATTTAACACTTCATGGGTACATTGAATGCGTCACTGGAGAGTGCATGAAGGAGGAACAGTCTGTGGACAGGATGTGTCGAAATGCAGACGACGAAGTAGGTGTTGTCAATCAGAACTATTCCAGAATATAGGTTTGAACGGAAGAAAACTCCTCACCTGTTTGAAGCTCTGTGGGACCGCAGAGATAGTTCATTCCCGCAGCAACGGTTGGCCACCACAAGAAGTGCCAGAGATGTCTCGTAGATGTCCGAGAACTGTCCTTCACTGGTTGCTTACCACTGATGCTGTTGGGATGGTAAATTCACTACAAATCTCCGCCACCACATTCACTGGACACCGTAGCAGCAATCGGGGCAATCTTTGAATGGAGATGCACATGCCGAAACAAATGCCGTCGATCCAGAAGAGATTGCGAGGAAGCATAACACACGCAGTGACAACACCTCTCACGAGTCTGTGAATCGTGTCAGTGTAGAGTACCGATGTCAGGCGCTTCTGCATCCACGAGTGCCATGCAACAACGGTCACCTCCAGAGTTGAACGCGAGGAATCAGACGCAGGTTCGACAGCACATTCCGACGAATGCCTGCCTGCCCATCCACAAATGAATCAGACCAGGAGCAAGCACACAACCGTGGTCTGTCAGCATTGAGATTACTTCGATCCGAACACAATCTCGCATAGCCAGTGAATTGGAAGGGTATTACTGTAGTGGATTGGTGGATTGGGATTTTGACGAAAATGAAGTAGTACTGCAGTGTTTGAACGACATCTCAATTCTCAGATTAACGTGCTCTCATTTCAGCATTTCAATCTCTCATGGACTTCCAAATATCTGGTCCACGTTATCACAGCACACCAATTCTGCCAACATTTCGAACTCCCACACACATGGACGCATTTCCGGAAGACAAATGACGGCTTCTGCGTATTCCCAGTTTGGGGATGTTGCCATCTAGTCTATTCATGATCAAGATCGACAATGTTGACCTTTTCTACCATGGATTTGTAGAGTCAGAAAATCGATTCACTCAGGCGGAATGGTCCAGTTAGCATCGTCTGTGCATTGATTTTCTATGCTTGATGAATAAATGGATGCATTTAACGCCCCCACCCAATTTATCGGTGCTCCTTTCTTACATTAATCAATCGGCAACATTGTTCCGACGTTATCTGTTACCGTATCTCTATTGGTTAAGACCAACACACAAAACACGAATATAATTGGTCGAAAGGTTGATTGAATTGTGTTCCCGGGTTCGAACCTCACATCGAGCAAAACGATGTTCCTGTGCGTGGACTGCGTAAAAAATGGGACGGGTAATCTGGGGGTGTCGGTGGGTGTTGACAGGGTGACTGGGAGAGCGAGCGTACCAGAACAACACCACCTGTGCCCAACCTGCGGGTTGCTTTCAAAGTAACCATGGAGGAGGGAAGAAGGGGGAGGGAGGGAGCCAGTGTACCCATCTGTCGGGGCGCGCATTTCAACAAGCATCCCCAATTTTAGTCCCCAATCACAGGCCGGGGATAATCGCTTTGGTGGTTGATTAATTAAACAACTTTTACTACTCCCAGCGGCACATCGGCTGCTAACACGCCATAATCGGCGTGGTGTGTTTGAATTTTACGCGGCGAACGACATCCCATGAGTCCACTTAACGCCTTGTCCACCCTAGACAACGTGGTGACGGTGGCGCGATTGTTTGCGTTCAAAAATGTGTGTGTGAGTATGGGAGATCAAATCACCACGTTAAAACATGAGTACTTGTTTATGGTTATTGTAGAGTGAACTGCAAACTGGTTAATCTACACACGTGGGGTTTGTGTGAGGTCAGGAGTAGTTGCCAGGTCGTGGTTGTCATGCTACATAGTGACCTCACGTGCACTACTAAGACGCGCGTGGATTTTTTTCAAAACCGTGTCTATGAGTTTGCTTCACGTGAAAATGTATCCGGTTCTTGGGTTAATGTGGTAGACGAGACGGTGGTCGCTGGAAGTCCATCGACGTCTCTTCCTGACGCTTCGATTCTGTGCACCACTGGAGCTCCATCCAGATGGTAACCGACGTCGGGAGTTGTGGTCAGCTTCCACCACCCAACCACCCGAGAATCGAGACAATAACGGAATGATTTAGTCGATTTCAAGGTGGTCACATCAATTCAACCGTGAAAACTTCGCTGGTAGCTACCTTCAAGCAAATTGGCGAAATTAAAACTGCAAATCCATGGTAGAAAAGGTCAACATTGTCGATCTTGATCATGAATAGACTAGATGGCAACATCCCCAAACTGGGAATA